AGGCGCCAGGTGGTGATAGGTAGCAACAGTGGCAATCAGTAGGAGTAGCAGTAGCGGTAGCGGTAGCAGTAGAGTAGGAGTAGCAGTAGCAGTAGCAGTAGCAGTAGCAGTAGCAGTAGTAGTAGTAGTAGAAGTAGCAGTAGTAGTAGTAGCAGCAGTAGTAGTCGTCGTAGTCGTAGTCGTACAGTAGTCGTCGTCGTCGTCGTCGTCGCGGTCGTGATTTATCATTATCAGTTCCAAAGGCTCAAAATGTCTTGTTAGCCGGATGTTTCATTCTTACCCGCAACTGCTTCACGCTGATTCAAGCTTACAGAATGGAGCTGCGCCAAACATCTCGAGGCTTAACCCCCATGCACCTGGTACAGTAAAGTCTGGAAATGTCGCAGGCCTGCAATGCACAAGCTGAGTCAGTCAGCAGGTCACAAGGCGTTTCAAGAATTCTCAGAAGTTGCTCTACTGGGAAAGATGCATTAACTACTCCACGCTCGACTCAATACACGCAGAAGACAATTCCACAGTTTGTGCACCCACCCCAATCGAAAGAGTGCCGCCGGCCGACCTGCCATGATGAGAACCGGGGGTCATGGTCAGGGCATCCACAGCCCCATCAAGGGCTGCACCTGCTGCCACGACCCTGTCTGTATGGCATCACGCACTTACAGCAGCAAAGGCTGCTTGAAGAACCAAGCGAATCTCAGCATGCACGCAGGCATGCAAGCACGCATGCACTCGCACGCAGAAGTGAAAGGCACGAGCAGAAGACACCCCAGAGACGAAGAGACGCATTCCCGCAGATCGACAAACAGACCGACAGAGAGACAAACAGAAAGACCTCAATACGGTGGACAGTGAGGCACAACTTGCATCGTCGTGACCCACTACCTGGTTGCAAACAGATAGACTGCACGTGTTTACCTAACTGCTGAGGCCCACAGACAGATCGGCCAGTCGAACGACAACCGACATGCCGCTCCTCCTGGGACCCTGTGCTGTGAAACAGAAAGAGGCAGTCTCGGTGAAGAAGAACCGAAACGTCGGAGTAAGATCGTGCCGAAAAGACTGACAACACTGGTCATGGTGTCTTCTATGTCAAACAGCGACACATACGGAAGGATGCATAGGTCATAGGCGAGTCATAGGTGAATAGTCATTCTCAATTACATCGCCTCTGCCGGTCACCCTCAATTTTTCAGAATTGCCAGAGCTACAAGACGTCTCCCATCATGATTTCCGTCCGCGGTGTCGAAGCCACACCTCTGTTGTTATCGCACCGACGCCCACAAGGAGTTCCAGCCAGATGGAGCGCAACCTCTGCGGGTTCACTGCGCAGCAGCCGATTGCCACCCATCATTCCGTCGCCGGATGCTGACGTCTCACCAGGTGGCTGCTGCAGGTGCATGTCGCAGATTTCGAGACACCTCTGAAGAGGAAACCGACAGACACCACTTTGGCCTCTGTCTCTGCGGCTGCTGGCGACTTCAGCTGCGTGCATCATCGTACATCGTAATCTGGAAAACGATGTGACAAAGGGTTACTGACCTGCAAAACCCGGCTCCCGTTCTAAAAAGCAGACAGAGCTACCCGGTAGACAAGCTTCACAGGACTGCACACCGCTCCCGAGAACTTGGCATTGCAGCGCATCGGGCCTATGGCAGAGAGTCTACCGCGATTGCTGCTCGCGGGCGCTGCCAGCGTAACACTCGTCGTCATGGCTGGCCAAACTAAAATTCGCTACATCTGTGCCTATTATGCAAATGAGTACATGCATGCATGCAGCGGAGTCTGGATGCTGGCTCTCATGTTGCAGACTCCAGCGAAAGCCTCCTGACCGTTTCGGCAACAACAGCCTAGCATTCACAACTGGAAACCCAGCACATTGAAGAGACAGGTCTCAGCCTGGGCTTGGCTTTCATGAAGCTCTTGCCATACCTTCGGGCCATCCCCCTGCAAAGTGACTGGAGATTACACACAAGTGCTCAACAACGCAAGAAGTAGGAGGTTTGAAGGTAACAGCCACGCGCAACGGATTTTGTTCCAATTATCTCGGGCACAGCAGGACATATTTTTCGCACCTGAGATGGCTGTGCCTTCGGTGCATGTGCCGTTAGAACCTCGCCTTGCAAGCCATTTTGCGAACTTTGGCAACATGGCAGCTACATTACGACTCTCATGAGGCACAACTAGATGCAGCGACAGTATGTCATGGCCAGCCGTTTTCACTTTGCAGGACACATTGAAAGCCGCACACGTAGCTAGAACAACTCGCTTGCAGTGACACTCCATCTGAGCTTCTTCCACCAAGCCAGCTCATGCAAGCTTTCGCACTGTTCTCCTCCAAAGCTGATGACTTACCCCGTCCCCTGCCGTCGCAACATGACGTTTGAAAGCCACATCCTCGCAGATGGCAGCTTGCTTAAGAAGGCAGCTCTCTCCTCTCTGCTCACGCTTCGGTCTTTGCCTAGCTTTCCAGCTGTGCTCCCGCAACTTTTACCGCCCCCCTCCCCGTGGTCAGAGGAACGCGGTCTCCTGGGAGTCAAGGATGTATCAGTCGGAAGCATGGCCTGACCCAGTGCATTTACATGTGCTGCCTTGCGCAACTCGGACCCCAGCTTGACGTGCTGCAAACCGTGTCGGATGAACAATCCTGCTAGCATCTGCTAGCACGCCTCCTTGACAGATGTGAATTAAGTGACTCCACCTGTGCGCTGCACCTAGGCCTGCGACTGCAAATCTGCTGGGGGTGACATGCCAACATCATGCCCAGACCAATTGTACCGCGTGCGGTCGTCACCTTTACTGCCAATCTGAGGCAGCAGGCCGTGCGGGCGAGCGTCGCCAGCCAGGGTGAGTGCGCCGCGTCCTGGGGTCAAAAGTGCAAGAGCATGTAGTGGCAGCAAGATGCTTTTTGTCATCACCCGTTTTCACAACTGCATTCAGATGGGCTCAAGTGACACCCGATTCTTTCGATCGATGTTTGAGGGCACTGGGTTTGTGCGCGTTTGCCCAATACCCGGCTTCTTTTCAGGCCTAGGGCCTAGTGTTCAAGCATCGAACCTTTGAAGGACACCAATGCTGTAGCACACTGTAACGACTGTCAGAGATCGGCAGACCGAAGCCACGACATTTTAAGAAATCATCAGCAGGATCAGCTCCAGTCGTGCATCCGAACCGTCTTCGATGGGTCTCTAATTTTGACGCCATGGACTGCGACCTTGGCCTAAGGAGAACCGGAGTTGTCGAAAGCAAGGGCAAGGGCGGCAGGGGTCAAGCCTGAACTGCACGGCAATCCAGGGGCACCATGGGGCGCGGTGTAACAGGGCGAGGGTTGTCGACATGGAACAATCATTCTGAATATTCGGAGTGCTTGTTCTGTCGTAATGCTGCTCTCGTCGGCTTGCCTTGGCAAACATTGTTGCTGATCAAATTCGCGTTTTTCAGAATGTGTGGCCAGGGCAAAACTGTACTGTACTCACCGAGGCGTTCACTGGAGCAGCCAAGCACTGCCAACCTGCCACTGCACAAGCAGACCAGCGGTCAGCTTTTTCGACAGCAGAAGCATCATTGACAGTCGCCTCTGGCAGCCACGGAACCCAAAGTTTCCGGTGACCAAACATAGTCCGGTGCTGAAAGCGGAGTTGCCTGTGGCGGCAGACAGGAGGAAGTCTGCATAAGTCTGCGCTCCAACGAAATATATACTCTACTTCTGAAGCCTCCAGCAACTCTCGACGACCCAAACATGCCCAAACTCAACATCGACGAAGTTATCCACAACCAATCTGTCTGGCTCCCCATGCTGAGCTGCTTCAGGTGCTTATCGCGTCTCATTTGCGCAGGCAGACAGCTGTCAAAAGCCGACAAGCCAGGTCCGAGATTGCGCCTCACACTCCCGCACCAGCTTCTGTGTCGTATGAACCGCACGTACCTGCCCCGCACTCTAAGTTCTGCCATGCCTACTTCTGGGGATAAGTCGAGAACAAATCGAGATCTGAGAAATTCCCGTTTTGATGCCCTGCAGAGTGCCGGAGCGCGGCTCCGGGAAGTGCCCTCCTGGCGAAACCTCGGAGCTCCAGCACATTGGTGTCTCTCTGAACTGCGGCTCTTGCGGGCGCATGCCTTCCGAGCTCCCGACGGCTGTGGGTCGAGTGCTGCACGCAGTAACTTTAGATCACGGGAGTCCTCGCACCTCGGCTATAAGCATCAACATGTGTCAACCCAGGATGAAGCTCACTCACTCTCTCTGAATTGCCTGTTCATGGCGAGGACATGCAACTTCAACAACTTATGGATCTCGTTGGCTTCAGCACTTGCGTCAAAGCCATCTCAAGCTCTGAGGCACTGGGGCGCTGACCGCCTCAAGAAGCGCAGTGTCTCCTTGCGGTGCCTGCAGACACACGGCGATGTTGCCAACTGGAAATTACTCTAAATTCGCGGGATGCGCCTGTACAAAGCATCGATACACTGGGAGAGCTCGGAGTCCTGTCCCTTCCGGGCCTACGAAACGAAGAAGCCACAGCAACGTCGCTAAATGCGGCAGCGCATGTTCTGTGGCCTCCCGACTCGGCCGTGGACTGGGCCGCGGACTGGTCCTGGTGGCGGATTCTGCGCCCCCTATGTTTTCTTTCCCCCTGCCCTCTCTCGCTTTGTCGCTCCTGTCGCTGGCACGTCCCGATTCAGCGGGGCGAGGCCTTGCTGAGTCTCGCTGCCAGCTCTTGTTAAGTCAGGCAGTTCAAGACCCAACAGCTGCGACCCGAAACCTAGACGCAAAACACCACCAGCACACCAGGAGCACGGTGCCCGATCAGTCTTCGACGAGGCGGCAACAGGTGGCAGGTGCGATCATGTAATGGCTCAGCTCAGCACGTGCCAGGGGTCCGCGGGCTCCGCGGACGTATCTTGCCATCCGAAACCCAGAAGCAACGTCTTGCATCATCTTGCATCACGCTTTGCACTGCAGGTTGCTGATTGCATGCCCGTGCTGGGCGATCCACGGCATCATCCGCTCGGGATCGCAAGGGCAATGGTGTGGACCTCCAGAACTGGATCACACGCTGCATTGTCGAGAGTACAACTGGATGTCGAGTGCCACAGCGCTGCAGTGCTGAGCTTGCAGCTTGGCTAGGGCATCCTGGAGTGGTCAATACTGGTCATGCCAAGGCAAAACTCGCGTTGCTGTTCATGGCGGTCATGCTACAACTTTGCAGCCAGTTCTCAGTCGAATCATAGCTGGCTGCTTCATCGAAGGGAGAGGGGGGAGGGGAGGGGAGCTTGCCAGTCCAGCTGCAATGGAAACATGTCATCACGCATGCTCACGGCATTTGCTGCAGTCCCCACCTCAGTCACGGCTTTCGCCATGACCATCAGGTTGCCATGGGCATGCCCTTGCAAACAACAGACAATCCCATGTTTGGCCATGCTTGTCTGCTGACTTGGGGCTACGATCTGTTGCCAGACTCAAGAGACGCCGTTTTAAGTCTAGTGCTGTGTCTTGCGCGCCGACATTTGCTCTCGTGGCTCGCAGAATTGCTGGAAATTCATTGACATGCCGCATGGTTACAAGCCGTCAAGAAAGAAGGTCCCATATCATTTACTTGCCAAAGCATCGCGGCTATGTTTGTGCGGGCAAAGAGTTTTGGTTGTCTGCAGCACATTCCAGCACCGTTAGACCTCGAAGCCACTGAACGCCACCGAGACCCAACAGACCAATTAGCCGTGCTGGTGCATCAACCAGTCTTGTTTTCCTGCCGGAAGTCGTTACGGTGCGTGTGACAGCCAACAGCACTGGACCGTACCGTATTTGCACCCATTGCCGCCGGCACCCACAACACGTCCTCGCCGCTCACCACTCTCTGCGGCCGTCATGGAGCTGTGACCGCGCTCTGCGGCTCACATCAGAATCTGAACGGCCTCTGTGCTGCATGCTGCAAGAAACTCCGGCACTCGCCTGACCTGAGCTGCAAGGATGTGCTACAGGGAAGTCGCAACTGCACCCGTGCGTGATGGTTGCGCCATCCCAAAAGAGGCTATCGGCTATCGTGCTGACTCCGACTGGGTGATACCGTTTAATCCAATCCGGCCTGCAATGCCATCTCTGCCGCCTCACACACAGCGTTGAAGGATTTCGGATCTGGCTCCGCGATCTCTTGCATCTTCGCGGCGACCAAAAGCGAAGCTTCCCACATGTGTCGAGAGCTGCACGCCCTCAAAACGCAGTTGAAAGACACTTGGTCAGGGCACACTTGTGCCCCCATGTGCATCAACTCTGACAGAAGCTGCAGGGACAGTTGCCACTTGCCCGCCTTCGCCTTGGAATGAGGCTTAGCTATGCTGGAGATCAGCTTACGGCCAACGTAGATGCTTCTTTTCACCAGAAGAAAAGAAACACTTGAGAATCCTACGAACAGCCGTTTCTAAGCAGCATAGTGTCGCAGGCACCCAGTGCTGAGTTGCAAATGCACGTGTTGCTGTGAACCGCGTCCACCTGCATCCATGCCAGCAGCACAAGCGCCAGCTGCCAGTTTTCTGCCTGATCACAAACAGCAAGTGCTGCACCGTAGCTGAACGGATCGGGCTTCAGTGCAGTTTCCCGCATCTCCAAAAAATAGGTCAGCATGCGTTCCCAGTCTTTACGGCGAGTGCACCCGGCCATGAGCGAATTGTAAGTGATGATGTCAGGGATTACAGCAGCAGACTTCATCTCTTCGACAAGATGAAGCTCCCGCGAAGTGTGCCAACTTTGCCCGACAGCCAATGCGCTCAGGAGCGAGTTGTAGCTGATCGTGTTCAAGAATAAGAGCCTCGCTCTGGCTTCTTCGCAGAGTACGAACGCCTGCTCCCATCTTCCACACTTCTCGCAGGCTGAAAGGCATGCATTTACGGCCACGATGTCCGGACGAGGTCCGGCTGCCCACATGTTTGACAAGAGCCAGAGGGCCATTTGCCACCGATGGGCCTGTCATTCGTGGTGTCAGTACTTCACTGCCCCCGCCTGCTACAGAGCAACCAGAGTTTTTCCAAGGCACGAACGGTTCTGGGACACCTTTCAAACTGCAGTTCTCGAATCTTGCTCAGGGCTGCGCAGCCACGTGCATCCATGTGCTGCTACGAGTTTGGAGAACTTGGCCATCAAACAAATCAACCAAGTTTTCAAGTTCCTGCATAAGGGACATGGACGATTAAACATGAGTCGAAACATCGAGAGGAAAAGCGAAATTCCTGCGCAAAGATCTCCCCTGTATGATCATCCCACTCATACAGTACGGAACGAATTACGTTGTGTTCTTCCAAAGTCTTTGTTCGAAGCTGCCACGACACTGTGGTCCGTGAATCCTGGGAAGGTACTGCAGGGGTAGCTCCGGCCTTTTCACAAGCAGAGATAACGGCACTGAACATCAGCACGTTCGGACGAAGGGGACCATCGGCTCTCGTATACAAGAGATTCAAAGCCCTGCTCCATGCTGCAGCTTTCTCGCAGGAGGATAAGACCTTCGCAGCGAGTCTTACGAGCAAATTGAACGGCTGACAAGCATTGATGTTGGAGTTGTGATCATCTATGGGGCCACTTTGCGTGGACCAGACGTTTCGGGCACAAGACTATGTGTTTCTTAAGTAAAAGGGTTTTCTACCTTCAAGCTTCACGACAGTGTTGACCGCTTCTCCTCCTGTAGATGCTGCTGACAGCTGCCGAGGTGCAGCTCCGCAAAGTGGCGCCTCCTCTCCGAGACCGGAAAGGTGTGACCTTCAAAAGCTTCTCTCTCCTTGTGATAGAATGCTAAGCAGAAGCAGTCTTGTACATCTATAGGCTAGCATGGCAACTTGAAGCTCAGTTTGACTGTTGGTGTTGGCTGTTGTGCTCGCCGAGCAACCTGATGAAAGGCTTGAGGCATACGCGGCATATGGATAACATGGGAACGATAGTTGCTCCCGGACTGTGAATAAGTGGTGGAGGCCTCAAAAAAGGTTCGTCGAAGGGTTGGGGAAGATGCCTCCAAGCGATTAAGCTTTGACAAAGTCAACCGTGACGGCCATGTAGAACCGAGTGCTACTGTACTCTCTTGTCTGTTCGAACTCACCATGCACACGGACAATCGACTGATTAAAGCCAGCTCCTCTACCCGGGCGGATCACGTGTGACGTAAGGACTGTTGTCAAGCCGCCTTGTCAGCAATTCCATTGCCTTGTGCCAGACCTGCCCCTTTGCACATGCGCTCGCAGCTGCCCCAAAGGCAACAACCTCAGCAAGACCGCAACTGTCACAACATCCGTAGCCCAAACAGCCCTCTGCTCCTCCGCTAAACTTGGCTTCTGGCACTTGGCCGAACAGACTTGACGGCTGTCGCAAGCAATGCATTGGCCTGTCAGGCAGGAGTTGCCCACAGAAACTCATCGTGAAAGCAGCAAAATGTGTGGTCTCATTGTTTCGACGGATGCAACACATTTACTATGTCATTGGTTCTTCCACGAAATCTCAACACTGCACCCTTCCACCTTCATCCACTGCGAAGCACGATCGCAACTCTGCATCGTGGCACCGTAGGATATGATGTCAGGCTGCATCCCCAAGTATTGGATTCTGGCCAAAAGCTGCAAGGCCATCTCCCAATTGTCACCAAAGGCAGTCATGGCTGCATTGAGTGTCGCTACAGCTTTCGGATCAATGCCAAAGTCCCGCTTCGATGCAGTAACAGTCCTTCCGGCCAGGTGTAAGGCAAGCTTCCACTGCAGTGCCCGACCACAGGCGCTGGTTGCCGCACAAAGCAGTATGGTGTCCGCGGCATGCCGTCTCTCGCAAGCACTTTGTAAAAGGTCGATGGCCACTTGCCAGCAAGTCGAGGTTTCACACGCACTGACTGCTGTACTGTAAGAGACCACACTGGGCAAGGGTCCGCTCTGCTGCATCTGCTCAAAAGTGACAAGGGCTTGCTCCCACCATTGAATGTCCCGAAAAATTGACAATACTACATTGTAGCAAACTGTGTCCAGCTCAGCTGTGCGTTTCTGCGCTTGATCGAAGAGATGCAATGCGTCCGACCAGCACTTTTTTCGACGGAGATGGACAAGGACTTTCCTGTCGCATACAAATGCTCAGTGTCTATGGAACAGGCTTGACATTGAGTTGCCATAAAAAGGTACTGCTTTCTTTGACAAGTTTCGAGCACTCCCTTGGAGAAGTCCATCTCTGATCCGGCAGCTTCTCAGCTCGCCTTGACAAGGAGATATCCGCGAATTCGTAATCTCTCAAATGCGACTGAGACCCGCCCAAACAATTGCAGCAGCGCATATTATCCCAAACTTGTCTCGCCCAAGTGTAGTGTACTCCGCTGGTTGAAGCCATTAGTTGTCTTGACAGGGTCCTAGAAGTCGAACGGAGCCCCTGGAATATGTAAGATAAAAGGCTACTGCTCTTACTTCGGGGATATTCAGGGCTGGGGAGCCTTAGGCCATCCAGACACCGCAGCAGGATTGCAGGTGTGGTGGTCTCTAGGCGACTCACTGAAACATGACAGGGCCGAGATCCCCGAACAATCAATGAACAAGAAATGTAGGGTTCTTTCATCAAGCGGCCTAAATTTCATCGTAGAGACAAGAAGGACGAGTGAGCGAAGAAACGTAGGTCATCCAACGTCACGAGTCCGTATTGCGAAGGCTCTTTGATATGTTGACCGTACATGCAATCCTCTCGACTCTCATCGGATGAAAGCCGTGCGGCATGGGAAACGTGGGCATCGGCAGCCGCGATACATGCCAGATCGCCTGTCGCTAATTGGCTGGGCGATGCATGGGCCGTTCAATCAGCAGATGCATCCATTCAATCCCAGTCCTGCAAACTGCCGCTTCCCGTTTGCAGGTAACGGCAGCCATGATGCAGGGATCCAGTGGCCGACTGAGGTGACGCTGCTGCTCACGGGCTGATCTGCTGCGCCATTCTGAGGGGCATCCCCACCAAATGGCCAGGTAAGGATCAGGGATGATCAAGGTTCAGATGCTGCAGGAACGGAAATCTCGCAGTTGGGAGAGAGCCATGAGAACTCATATTCTAGCCCAGTGCCAATGCAGACCGAACCTCTAACACAAGACAAGTGCATGGGATTGTATCTCACTGTAAAGTCCTTGTCTGGATTGAACCAATGCATCCCCCCAAAGACAGACTTTGCGCCAGCAGATTCTGATTGCATGATGCATGTAGCACTGTTCCTTTTGACCATCTGCAGCGCTGCGATCGTTGCGGTGCCAAGTTTTCCTGTTCTGGCTCCGGTCAATGGCTGCGGAGCGGGCCGGTCGGACAATTGCAAGTCCTTGCAGTTGCAAGCTGCCGACTGTCTGTACAGGCTCCTGACACACCCTTCCTTTACAAATTCAGGGCCAGTGTCATCAGCTACAAACCAAAATCAATGCAAAGTCTATCCGTGCATTTGATCGCATGCGCATGCAAATCATGCAAATGCTCAGCTCTCATTAGGCAGCTTAACATCCAGCCGCTGCTAGGCGGCTCACTTCGCCAAGCTGCGCACAGTCCTCCCGCTGGGATTGAGCTAGACTTTCATGTCCAGCACTTCTTGGATGCATCGCGAGTGATAGGTGCATGGCATGTGCTCTGAACCTTCAAGAGATGCAGCAACAACTAGCAACGATCAGCAGGCCAGCCACCGTTCGGACTTCCTTGCGAACGAGCTCTCGAATAGCGTCCGCCAGCTGTCGGCAGTCCTTAATGCAAGATTCATCATGCCCCCGTCCATATTCGGTAAACACGTTTGATCATGTGAATCATGTGGGAGGGTGCTGCACGAGTAATATGCATCGCAGCCGAATGCAATCTCAGCTTCCAGAGGAAATCTGTGGCCGTGAGGGTGGCGAACGATCCTGTAGTACTGTACGAAGTAACAGCGGAGAGAGGCCGTGCAACCCAAAGGGTCTGAGAGTTGCAGTGGGGCGTGGTGAGGCAAGTGCAGAGTGAGCGGCTTGCTGTCGCTGTTTTTGGCCGCTGCTGGAGACACACCATACCACTCCTGCGCATGCAGTGCCCACATCGATCACCATGTGTCACGCGGATGCAACAATTGCATGCCTTGAAACTAAGGAGAAGGGGACTAAAGAAGCAGCGATTTAATGTGATGCTGTCAGTTGCAGAGTGGAACAGCACGACACATCGTGGCTGCCTCGGCTAGCTCTTCGCTGCCATGTCGATCGCCGTCACTCTCGCCAACGACATGAATCGAGGGAACCGGCACTTGCCAAACCTCCACGGGTTTGCTTGGGTTGGTGGCGGACACTGCGCATTCATTCTCACGCAGGCTCTAGTTAGAAACTCTAGCAGACAGGTGCTAAGTGCTAAGTGTAACGCAAGCGTTTGGAATCTGGAGGAAACTGAGTATGACGGTAAGGCACTCCTTATTCCCCGAGTCCCAAAGGCTTCAAAGGGACTCCAATGTGCGCCTTGTTGCTGCCACGGCCGAAGCAGAAGCAGCCCGGTCGGAAGTCATCGGGCGGAATGCCGCAGACACAGATCACAAGCCGCGGCCGTGGCACCTCAAAGAACTCGCTTTCCCAGTCGATCATTTAGAGCTGATGTCATCCATGCAATCAGCATGTTAAACTGTTAAAGCTGTTTGGCAAGGAGCATCACCTTCTGCTCTTGCTTCTGTGATGTCCGACACTGCACTGCGCATTCTGCATGGGCAGAAAGAACGATCTTAAGTTGTCAATATCTGCGTCGAATGACAGGTGCCACGAAGCCCGAAGAGAACGGAACATCTTCCAGCTCTGGCTAGCTTCAAAAGGTACTGTAGTTGCGAAGTCTTGTTCAATACTTTGCGCATGTCCGCCGCGATGGTGCCGGCAACACGCAAGCCAGGCGCATTCCCACATTCATGCTTAGATTCAACCTTGATGCTGCTGAACAGCAGGCCACACGCAGAAGCTTCGAACTCTCTGGGGTGGGGACATCTGCCAGCTCGGTCTTCAGCTGTTGCCGAACCTCTAGGTCCGAGATGACGGCGGAGCTAGTGCTATGTGGCGATGCAGTCGGTGGGTCTAGTTCATTTCAGACAAGCACCACGTGCCGATAAACGACACATACAGCACAGGACTCATGGAGCCTGCTAAAACGTGTTTGCAAACCTCCCTGTTTCTGCTGGGAAACGTGTAAAGAACAATGCGCAGTGACATACTGCCATATCTCGCATAGTGAGCTCCAGTCGATGTACGCCTCAAAGATACTAAAAACATCTTTTTGCGGGCCTGTGCCTGTGCCTTCTAGACCCTTCCGGCCACCCCCTTGAAGAAGTGCCTGTGACAGCCCCGAGTATGGAAAGAAACGTGCGTGAGCCGGTGGAGAAAACTTGATAGAATATCTCTCCACCTGCAGAATCGCTTGGCTACCGCGACAATGCTTGCTCGTTGGGCAGCTCAGTAAATTTTGCGCCTCCGCGGAGCCTCGCCCGGCGCCATGCAGGGCTGCGAGCACTGCAGTGGCACAGGCGGCACCCTGCGACGCCGTTCGACAGGCACATGTGCTTTTTGTTGAGTGCAGTCACCCGACTGAGAAGAGGCATCAAGAAATGTCACTGCCTCTGAGAAGCCCAGCAGAGCATCGAAAGGACCGTGTGTGCCTGTCAAGTTTGTGAACATGCCGAGAAATTCGACAACATGTTCCACTCAGAGATTGCAGGTCTCCTGGCGGGAGGATGCAAGTATATGATGTGCAAATGAAATGAAATTTACGACTAAGACTTGGACGAATGTGCTCGGCCACGTACCGCACAGCTTCGAGCTGTCCCGCCACACCATCCAGAGGTTCCCACCACTGGTAGTACGGCGGCATGCACTCCTTTCCAGCACTTGTTTGCCTACCTATCTCCAAACTAGGGATAGACGGTTTATGGCAAAAAGCCGCATGAGCCATGCTTGCCTGTTGAATTCGAGCTGCTGGTGCGGTGGCACTGCATGCAACACTGACACGACCTGGTGAACACCTGCGAGCCACCTTCGTCGCTCAACAAGTTCACATGCCTGCTCGACGTCGTCATCTGCTGCAAGCATGCCAGAGATGGGCCTGTAGATTCGGAGTGCAGACTGTTCTAGAGGAAGGGACTTTGACGTGGAACGATGTGGAAGTAGCTGGTAAAGGACTCAGCATGGGACCCTTCCAGGTGGGAGAACTCTGATTCGCCCAGCTTGGCCTTCAACTGCGCCAGCTGTCGTTCCTCGGCCGTGCGTAGAGTTCTTGGACACGTGTGTTGGAGTGGGGCTTCCGAGGCCGAGCCGCCATAAACGCTGCGTTCGTGCGCCAGCCGTGAAGGCACAGAATGCGGGCCATCGCCTCGAAGGCTCAAAAGGCACATGACACATCGCCTTCGCCCCCAAGAGGCCAGCTCCCTCTTTCGAAGGCTCTCGGCTACAGCAAGACAAACGTCGGGATTTGCCACCCGACATGTCGCCAGACCAGAATCGCTTTCTGGCCTCTCAAAGCCCTGGGAGGCGCACAGATGCGCAAAGCCAGGGCGAGTCCAGGCCACTGTCCGAGCAAGACGGCTGCTGTTCTTTCGCCTTCCTCACTGCTTACACCCTTATCCCAGCTGTAGCTTCATGGGCCCATTAGGCTCTTGTCGCCTGTGCTGACTTCTCATTCTGCCTTAGCCTTAGCCTTCAGTGGCCTGTCAAATTCTTCTCGCCTGCACCCAAAATGTGGCAGCCTTTGTTCAACATGAGTGATTGTCACACACTCACCATCTGCTATGCACAGGCACATGCAGGCACCCTTCAGGTGCTGCGCGCTGGTGCGAGCTTGGCAAGTCGTCAGTCTGGAACGAATCAGGCGTCGGGTCAAGTCGGTTGTGTACACATGGGATCCATTGAGTGTAGTTTGGCTCTAAAGCGGCCCGGCGGCCCCTCATACTATCCTAGTTTTGCCTAGTATGGAGGAACGCAGGCTTGTCTGATGCAAACAAGCAGAATGCCGACTGGCACCTTGCCTCTCACTTTTTCTCGCCCTGTTCAGGGAGACACGGCATGCCTCGGTACAGTGGCAATGTCAGGACGACAGAATGTATGTCTGTGTAAGTATAAACACATTTGCATATATGTATATACATGCATATATATATATATAATCTTAAAGTTACATGAATACAAACAACGGACAACGGACATAACTACTAGTATTGAACATGACTGAAACCTCTTCACCACCCAGTGCACCGCGACGCTGTTCTCGCATTGCGCCACGTGGTGCCAAGACTTCACTGCACTTCCGAGGTCCATGCTAGCGCTGCCGAACATTCGCTTGCACAACCACCTGGCTCTTGCGCACGTCAAGCTTGAAGCATTGAACTGAAGCAGGCGAATAGCCGACAAGGCCTCATTGCTTTGCGGTGCTTCTTCGAAGGCCACGACGCCCTGAAAGCTTCCGAAATGCGTCGCATGTCGCCAGCTTCAGGTTTACTAAGTCTGGAAGCTGCACATGGCAGTTGAAAGTGAGAAGATGTGAGAAGAGTGAGGGGACAAAAAAGGGGAGCTGAGGAGCAGGCCTCACCCGGCGGCGTGGGGACCACGGCCAGCGCTGCCTCAGAAGGAGAGCCAGCCCACGGCATCTCCCGCATTTCAATGCCATCCTGTAGACTACGAGTATCTGCTGCCGGAACAAGGCGTAAAAGTACAAAGCACTTTAAGACATGTTGCATAGAGCGTTGCACACAACAAAGCTGCTTCCATGACAAAGCTCTCTTGAAACTGAGCTTCCGATGCATTCCCCGGTCCCCTGCACTGCTGAAGGCCTGCCTCTGGATCGGTGCCGGGATTAGACACCTCTTCAGAATCGCTTCTCATCTCTCACCTAGATACCTCGAAGGCTATCGCTGCGAAGCATGCCCATAACAGGTTGGTCTCTACTCCCGAACGTCTGAAACGCGCAGTGCTGATGCCAGTGCTGCCTCAGCATTTCCAGCAGCTCCCGTGGCGCCAATCCGTTCCGGACTGACTGCTGCAGAGTTGTCCTGGCACTCGTCCGTGATAGCTCCCTGGAACTCTGCCTGGCTTCCTAATTACTCTGCCTTTACCACGGAAACTTGCTCTTGAACAATCCGCTCAGAGGTTGGGCTAGTGTGCTGTACGCTCAGCTGACCTCTTCCGAGTCAGAGTTGCCACTCTCCAGGCTTGTGGCCTAAGCAACAGGCGCGGCTTCGTGCAAACTGGCGAAGCGGACATCGCGGCTGTACCGACATCGGCAGTACTGAACTCTGAAATCTCTGCAGCTGTGAGCGTGGTGTTCTATAAATTTAATTGGCCACGTGGCTAACCATCGGATACTGCAGGATTGGAGTGCGTTGAAACGGGAGTTCCCGGACATGCCCGGACTTGGCACGACTGGGCCGCACGACATGCAACTGAAAACATGGGCAGTGGGAAACAAGCCGGACCTTTCACGACTTGAGACGATAAGATCAAGATGCTGTTAGTTTTGTAAAGGCCAGCTACTTGGCAAGGCTGTCACATGTACCACTTTGTGGTTTCTGGGCTTCTGGGGCTCGGAGCCATCGACACTGTGAGGAATACATGCCGTCATTCATGGGGTGCTGCGGGTCGCCGGCTAAAAATCCGTCACCAGAATGGCTTCAATGAAAAACTAGCCATGATTCAGAAACCAGCCATGATTCGGAAACCACACCATGATTGGAAACCAGAACGGCTGATTCGGCAACCAAAACGGCTGTCTCAAAAACACACGAAACATACTAATACGGAAACCAGATGCCATGATTACGGAACAGTTGCCAGGAGATGCCAGGAGCACTGCGGGCCTGGAAGGGCCCGGAAATGCTAAAATCTCAATGCCTCACTCGATTGTAAATCGGTCTGAGCGACGTCAACAGGCATACTGTGCTCTCGGAAGGCATTCGGGCATGGACGTTATCATGGACCTATGGATGCTCTCTTGTCAGAACGCAGTAGACCATCATTGTTTGCCCATGGATGTTCTGTGCTCAACACAGAACGAGATCATCCCCCTCCACGCCCCCCACCCGCAAGAAGAAGCAAAACGTAGGCGCAGTTATCCTCCCTCGTGCATGGACATTATCAGTTGTAGGCCATGGATGCTCTGGGCTCAGAACGCACATTAGACCATGGACGTCATCATGGCTGGCTGTTCTCAGAACGCCTTACACCACGGGCGTTCTAATGATTGGGCCATGGATGCTCTCCTCTCACCACCCCAGCATTGCTTCCAAGCTCCCGCGCCAGTTTATCATCCAGTTTCCAAGCTCCATTCCTGACAAGCGCCTTCAGTTTCTGATACGCGCCGGTTTCTGATACGCGCTGGTTTCTGATACGCGCTGGTGTTTGATGCAGCTTCTGATGGACCTCTGGTTTCTGATCCGCAGTTTCTGATTCAAGGCCCATTTTCTGATTTTGCAAGGGATCGGACGCTGAGAGCCTGCGGCGGTCACGAGTAAGGCCAGCACCAGGTCCCTGCGACACAGAGGGCAATTTCTGTTGACTTTCAGCCTTAGATGCATCAAGGATCCTGTTGCCGCCAACTGCCGAACACACTGTGTCACTGCGTTTCACTGTACATCTTGCTGAGTTCGCCGGCCAGTGGACCAAGCAACTCTCGTGGAAATAATGCCCACCTGCAGATGCAACAGCAAACAATCAGTAAGCCAGGGGCGGGGCTTCCAATCCGCGACATGCAACATCTTTCCGAGCATCAGTCCCTCCCACAATTTCGCGTCTTATCCACGCTAGCAGAATCTACCGTAAGCAAGACAGTCAGAGCTTGAGACATACAGTCTTCTTGATCTTGTGTTCCTTGTTGAAGTCCTGCAGCGGAAAGAATCTGAAAGGCGGCCAAGGATTTGGAACGAGAGCAGGAGAACAGTCCTCCATGCAGACCGGACACTGCAGTGCATCTCCGAACTCCTCACCAGACACATCAAGCAGCAATGGGCGGACCGTGTCTGAGCGGCATGACGGCGTAACAAGCATGCAAGCTGGTGCAAGTAAGCAGCTCAGCTGCAAGAGCAGTGGCTGTGGACTTAAGGTGACCATCACTCTGCCATCCACACTGCGGCACAGGCCCCACAACTGCAATCAGTGTCGGTCGGGGCTCCTGTGGGTCGAAGATCACAGTCTGCTGAAGTTCGATCGTGCCCTCAATTATCAATACAGATGATAAGTTATAGATCACTGTTCACTTCTCATGCGAAGAGGGAATCCAAAATCACTGCGATCCGGCCCTGAGCTCTGAGCCTCGGGTGCTGCACGGTCGGAAACCATGGAAGATGGAAGGAGACCTCGACCTGAGGCAGAGAGCGGCAGATCCCCAGCAGAGGTGACAGCGGGGTCGGACTCCTCGTGCAAGAGGGCCCCGGCCAAGTCTAGAGTCTAGGCGCCCGGCGGAGCAGGGAAGCTAACATGTGTTGCAACCTGAGGCTTGAAGAAAATGAATCCTGTCGAACAAGCGCTCCCTCTAACATCAGCAGCATACTTCACAGGCTAGCCCAAGCATGCGACCCGTAGGTCGAGACCACTGTGAATATCGTGAAAAAGACCTGACATCATCGTGCGTCCTGCATCTTACGACTCCCCCCCGACTGCTGAAGACTGCAACCCACTGAACAACACACAAAACGGACCTGAAAACTGATTAACACTGTGCCCATATTACTGCTACAGAGGTTTATCGCTTCGATGGCTTGGTTGCCCCGGCACGGGGCTTGCTTTCAGGCACACTTGGAAAGGTTCCCAGACAAACATTTACGTTCGTTGCATTTGTGCACTTCGCTATCCTGCCGGGCAAACAGATCCAGAAACATTACAAGCTTAAGCCATAGACCCTCAACCGTTTTCACCGTGCGTCGTTGAAGCATGAGACTGAACCTAGAACGTGCACAAGCTGCAGACACAGGTAAACCTGCCAGTGTTGCATTGAATGCGGCAAAAAGGTAGGTGGCCATGAACATGTTGGGAGCTGTCTCATGGCACCTGCGGCAATGGCATGCAATAGATACGGAATGCAAGATGTTAGCGGTGCCCTAGATGTACAAGTACCTTGCGGAAGCACAACGCACCGTCGTGTCGGGGCATCACGGGCATCTCTAGGACTATCAGCATGACTGTCTTGAGAGTATTGAGGCCTTCTCTATGCTTAGCGCCCTCCTCTGCTGCCTCTGCTCTTTTGATGTCGAGCGCTGTTCATCCTGACATTCCTGAGCCCCGGGCGAAAGGCTGATGCGGGTCCAGTGCAGGCCAATGCAGTGCCACCTTGCCAATCGGAGCCAGCTTCAAACGGGCCAAGATGGCCTAGCGCAGCACAGCCATGTACAGCAAAACGTGCCAGCGGGGCGAGAACACAAAAATAGTCGTGAGCCAGTGATAGAACCTGGCTTCTGGTGGCGACCGCAAGGCTTGCTGCCTGCCTGTTCCTTGCATGCCTTTCTGATTCTTGCAGTGCTACTGCAAGCCCTACAATTAGCTTGCTTCCATCACGAGGTCTCCTTGGCATCCTCAAACATAATTCCCATGCTACAAGGCTACAGTAGGTGGCCGCAGCTGATAAACGCGCCCGTGACCCCAAGTGAAATCTCAATCAGACCCGCTCTTCGAGTTTCGGTCACAGATCGACTCCTTTTCAAGAGATTCGAGATGCCCAGATGCCCAGATGCCTCACACGCGCCGGAGGAATCTCCAGGCTCTGCTCGGGCGCCTCAGGTCTTGCGAGGACGGCTTCCACTCGTGACGTGCTTTGTTGCTTCGGCAGCGGGCCTGGTATCTGCACACGCTCCTCCAACTGCATACGCGCATAGACGATGCTTCCCACATGTGTGCGGAATGTCCTGATCACCTGTCGATGAAGCGATCTGCCGCCCAGGTTGATGTGGTAGGCGATGTTGAACTACGGCAGGCAATGAGGAAAGTGTGCTTGCTTGGGCTGACGCTAAACCTGCGAAGCACGTGGTACATGAAGCTGGGATACGAAGAACCTATGTACCTATGCGTAATTAGACTCATTATCCCTCACATTTCGACTTCTGCTCCGTTGCCCTGCCATCGCCACATAGAACCACACACGCAGCGGCACGTCGCAGTCCTTCGGCAAAGACATGGCTGTCCGAGGAGAGAATCCTCAAAGCTGAAAAATCTGCGACAGTCCTTCCACGATTCTTGGGCAAAGCCTGACAACTCCGACAACTGCATGATGCTAGCGCCAACAAAACTTTGCATCAGACATGCTGCCAGCATTCGACAGCACAAACAAGCATAACGAGTTGTCTCAAGCGCTGTCAAAGCTTCTATTACGTGCTCACATCTGGCTGCATCCGTGTTACTGTATATCAAGTACGAGAACAGGACGAGGCTCACGGGTAGCAAAGCACCTTAGCTTCACTTCCGGCATGTGCAAGACTGACAGAGCTGCGATGACTTCCAAGGAGGACAATGATGTTAAACACACGCACACATCCGAAAATGCAAGGATGCACATGCGATGGCATGGACATGGCGCCTATAGAGCCAGTTCATTTGGTGGAGAACGTACACTCTGACCACTGTTGCATGAGGTTGCGAATCCCTCCACTGGGCTCACTGCAAATGATACATCCAAAGAGCATCATCCAACGAGTGATGCTTGCATAAACGACCTGCGCACGCTTCTCGGATACTCCAAGCGAGCTTCTTCACTAAGCCGATCCTTTTCAACTTTTGACAGCTGTCAGGAGAAGAATACGAAACCTGCAGTCACTTGCATATAGCTTTTCATTTTCGAAGCCCGTCGTGAAAGGCGAAGACTTGTACATGTCGCCTCGCCTGGGTCCCAAACAGGGGTGGGTTTGTTGCTGCATTCTGTGATAAGTAGTCCGGATGCAAAAGCCGCGATTGTACACATTCTTTCGAAGGAAGGCATAAACAACTGATGAGTATGGTCATCGCCGAGTTGCCAGGCAGCTGCTGAAGCTCAGTGTGCATTGGAACGCAGATCAAAAAACGGCCTCCAGCTCACTTTGTCTGACAAGCTCCTGGTCTGCCTCGCAACGGAAAACCGTTCATCTTCAGGTTTGGGGCCAAGCTTCCTAGAGGCCCACAATCCTTTGCCTGTGCAGGGGTGAGGCCAATCGCGGTGAGCTCCGCTCGGGAAGGCCTTGCAAACGAGAGACAAAGACAAAAGAAGATGCGGTTGCAGGTCGGTGTCAACACAGCGTGTCGTAGGCATTGCTCAATGACCCCATTCAGCAGGAACATGCAAGTCCCACAATACAGCTCCGCTTGGGCCCCAATAAAAAGTCATTCTGTTTGCATGTCGGAGAGGTGAGGAAGGTAGTAGCAAGAGCGAGTATCACTCGGCGTGACGGAAAACGAGACGGAGTTGAGTGAAGAGAGAAACAGAAACACAATGCAATCCCGCTCTTGGCTGTAAGGGTACATTCAGGCAAACAGCTGTGCTATGAATTAAGTCACGACGGGCGACACTGCATGCAACAATGCCACGCGGCCTCTGCCCACTGCCGGGGCGCTGGAGCATCACCTGCTTTGGTCGCAGCAAAGCGTCAACAAATGCCGTATATGCCGTATATCTGCCATGTCGTCCTGCCACAATGTAACAACATGTAACAATGCCAGCTCCACGACGACTGACATCGCACAGCTGCGACAGCGCGCGACCGCGCACGACACAGCTCACCCAACATGCAGCCTGCCAACTCAGCTCATCTCAGCTCAACAACGTGAAAAGCTCGCATGCCGGATGGGAACTAATACTGTCACGAGGAGGTGCCTTTCTAGGACACGTAAGATGGGATGAGCGCCATCAGACTCTGAATTAAGGACTGCCGAGCTTGGAGCATGAACTGCCGTCATCTAATCTAGTTGGATCCATCTGCGACTGTGCTGAGCGTCAGCAGAAGTGAGCCATAAGAATGCAAAACATTTAATGTGCTTGATCGGGCAAATTCAAGCCTTTGCTCGTCAGCGAGTGTCCGGCCCCACGATCTGAATGGTCTGAAACTGTTGGTTGGCATGGAATGCAACTTGAGCGGGCCAGATACCTCTTGCATGCCCTCTTTGAATTGCCGACATGTTGGCAGCTTCACAGCTTTTGAGAAAAAGAAGCCGACAAAGTTGATAAGGTGGACGCGCTGCGGAGGGTCAAATACCAATTCAATCGCTGCATGAGTGCTGCGGCTGCTCTCCAACTCAATCAGTCAGGGGCACCCCATTTTCTGGAGCTCTCACGCTTTCAAGTCGCATATCTCGAAGGTGGCGTGGGGCTTCAGCCGACTGCAGAGTCAGGCACGTGGATGCAGTGGCGTACTAGAGTGTAGTGGCAAATCGCCTCCGCAGCAAATCACACAGCTCCTGTCGCTGCAGAGCGACCTCGGCACGGTGCTCAATTCAACGCAACGCAACGAGGTTTCTGCGTGAGGCAAGGGCCTCGGAAACATTCGTAGCGAAATTTGTCGGCTTCTGGACTGACCTTGGGCTGACTAGTAACTCTGTGTCTGATCTCGCTTAGTCGATTATTCACTTGTGCGACAGTGGAACGGTGTTGAATGAAGTAAATCACGATCGATCGACTGAGCATTGGGCCACACGAATCCACTGTGCAACAGCACTTGCAATGGAGCACGGAAGAAAGCCGCAACTGCGATGGGCACATCGTTGATGCTGCCTCCAGCCAGCTCTTCCCGCTCCATCAGCGTGTTGAAATGGAAGTCATGCCCCATCCTGATTTCTTCAACCACTCAACCACGAAAAAGTTGTAGATTGTGGAGAGCCCTGAAACTGCTAGCAAAAGCTCCTGATCCTGTCGCTAGGCATGTCTCAATCAGCGGGCATGTCGGGAGTTGAGATTGCTTCAAACGCTGAGTGGGAAGCAAAGGTATTAGAGAATGGCTTTTGTGTAGCAGCCGTAGGCTTACGCTTGCTTCGGGCATCCCTGGGGAGCGCCGGGGTGTGCTTCGCCTCCTCTCGACCAACCATCCGGATTCTCATACAAGTACTACACTCCTTGCCTCTGGCTAAGCTGAGAATGTGCCAGTTCGGCAATCGCCCAATTAAGGCGTGCAGCGCTTCCCAAGTTATAGTTAGCAGTTAGCACGCAAGTCGCTCAGATTCGCTCGCACTCCGAATTGCTGGCCAATCGCATGAGTCCACCGGGCCGGACTTTGGGCCACCAGGCGCTCAAATCTTGCAATACGCTCCACCACCTGGCCCCCAGCAAAGCACAGGAAGCCTTCGCTTACGTCTAAACTGCTGCATTGACTACAGGCCCACTGCAGCCTGGGCACTTGTGATCAGCATCAATGTAGACAAGGTCGAGACTATCGTCCTCGAAACACCTGGGCCAGGATAGGGCAGTTCGGCCATGATGAAGCAGTCGTCCGGCCGTTCAACAGTTCAACATGCAACTTGATCGAACATCTTTGCATTAGCTGGAGAATCATAATCCCGAGGATGACGATGAGGATGTTGATGACGATGATGACGATGATGATGATGATGATGATGATGATTGCACGCAGCATGGCACCTGCGAGCCCTGTTGAGAAACAGGCGCTGAACTCCAATGACCTGTGAGACCACGACAGGCCCACGACTGCTCTTGTGGATGTGCCTGGATGGGCCAACGCTTGTGCTGCGGTGGAAGAGCACGTCAGCGCGGAAGCGCGCTTTGGCTTCATTCAATGCGGCACAGGCCCTTGGTCGCAGGCCGAAAGCTCAGCACGGAAAGCGTCCCTGTACCGCATTGCAGCATTGTGCCACAACATATCTAACCAACTAAACTAAACTAACTAAACGAATCCCAAGCTGCTGTCTCGAGCCTTGCCAGTGCGGCACCTCCATCCTCCGAGCTCCAGCGCGTCCGAAGGATCGCCAGACGGAGCGCATAAGGGAAGCGTTGCTTTGGCCACCCATGTCAGAACCAGTGCCCACGGCCTCACAGCAGCGAAGCTCCGAAGAGTTAGAGTTCTCCTCGACTTCGTGTTGCCGACTTCGCAAAGAGCGATGGAATTACCACGAGAGACAGACAGAGAGAGAGAGAGAGAGAGCGAGCGAGAGAGAGAGAGAGCGAGCGAGAGAGGGAGAGAGAGAGAGAGAGAGAGCGAGCGAGAGAGAGAGAGAGAGCGAGCGAGAGAGAGAGAGAGAGCGAGAGCGAGAGAGAGCGGAGTCACATAAGAATCAAAAGCAACACCGATCCACCTGGCTGGCTACGCCCATCGGCCGATCGGCGGCCCCCCAATGGTCGACCAGGTGGAGTTCAAAAGCACCTGCACCGTCAATCTGGTGTGCAGCAGTGCAAGCCTGGATATTCTCATGTCTCAACTGAACCTGGACGCCGTGCTGCTCGATGCCAGACGTGCTGCGTGAGGTTGCCCTTGAACACGCCAACTTCCACCATGCGAAAGGGCAGATTGGCCTGGCGGCCGGAACAAAGATGGACCAGAGCGAGCCTTCTCGCGGTTGAAGGCAACCGTCGAGGGCACCAACATGCCCAACAGTGCTTGAAAACACAGACAGCCCTACAGCCTTGCCCGCTTACCACGAGCGGATTCTGGGTTTTACCTTCGGATCCGTCTGTCGCTTCAAGCATGAGCATGCATCAGCCATCAGCATCAAGGACTGCCTTACGGCTTCGTACGGCCGCATCCACGACTCGGTTTGCAGGCAGATCGTGGCGCAGCGCCGCACCACGAAAAGCCCCGTCGCCCATGGTCCACGCCCCAGCAAGTCCTGCTACCCTCAGCTGCGGACGGCATGCTGCATGCAGTTCACAATATGTACAGATGCCGTGAACTTATTCAACATATTTGACAGATACTCTTGCATGCATCAAGCGCAGAAACCCAAGGGAAAACATTCGATTCCTCAAGCCGCAGCTAGGCAGCTTGAAAGTCGGAGCCGCCCTGGCCACTGAGGCCCAGGGTACAAACTTTTGGCCTTCCTGCGGCGGGGGCAGAGCCGCTAGCTTGCATTGTGCCTCACATTGCCTCAACAAAACACCTCCCCGCGCCCGGCCGAACCTGAGCAATGCTAAAAAAGTGTCACAGTGTACAAGTAGACGTGGGTATAGAAAAAAAACGTGCGTACGACGCTCGTACGATGCACCTTGCTGCTAGCACTCGTTTAGACCCACGGAAGGACATCATCGTGGTGAGAGGGGACTTGCTCGCCACCTAGCACGGAGCACCACCATGCCAGGACAAAGGCCACGGCCACGGTTAACATCACTGGAAGAGCTAAGCTGAGGTTGCAGTCGAATGCTGCAGTCATGTTGTTCTTTACACGCCAGTATACTCAATCACTGGAACCCTCAAGCGCTGAAAGAAGCAAGATCTACGACGCTTGCATGAACTCGCCGTACGCCTTGCCGGACAGAACCGCTTGTTATGTCTGTGTTCAGCAAAAAGCCAGACATCGCACATGGTTGACAGCATTGTTGCTGGGGTGCTGCCATGAAGGCCGACATGCATGCATTGACATGGGAGCCGGTCCTTCCGGAAAGCTCGTCGATGAAGACCATACGCGACGTCTGACATCCAGTCAAAGCCTCGCGTAAGCGTTATAAAGGCCTGTAAGCCACCCATATCTGCTTCTTCGGGCCTAGTTTTGCTGGGCTTATGCGTGTGCACCAGTCACCAGAACAGGTGCAAATTGGCAGCCACTACTCGTAAGCTGTCGCATGCTCACACTGTCTGCAAGCTTGTCTCGCAGCAAGACATTCCAATTTGCCAAGTACATGCATTGCATGCATGACACAAGCACGTGAACAGCTTGGCCGCAAACCATCCAATGACATTACCTGCAAGAACTCGAGGAACTTCAAGGCCTTGGCCGCGCAAGGTGTCAACCTTTGGCCATGCCTTGCTGTTACAGGTATCTTCCTCTTATCTTCCAGAAACTCAGATGCGAGCCAGGCGCCATGTGCTCTGAAAGGAATACAGCCACCGCCTGCTTCATTTTGAAGCACTGCTCCAGCTTTTCGACAAGCTGGGGCTCACACAGAGAATTGTCTTTTCCTGTCTGTCTAGCAAAGGGCCGATGTGCTCATGGGAAAGGGGAGTAGAGGTACGCTGGAGGACTGGGGAGAGAGAGGGGGAGAGAAAGTAAGGAGGAAGGCAGAATATTCTGAGAGTTCGAAGAGAGCAACGGACAGCGAGTGGGAAGAAGGACACATTCACTGTCATTAATTGACGTACTGCCGGGGCTGGACTCACCACCTTTTCCACTGTGATCCTCACCTGCTGTCTATCCTCATCTCGAGGAGATGCTTTGGGATTCTATCGATGACGCCAGACCTTGGCCGATGGATCATGACCATCATGACCCAGACCTTGCCCGATTCCTCGGCAAGGGTGATCCCTTTGACAGGAGTTCATATACAGCTATTCGCAAAAAACAGCCCCCACGGGGCCTTGAAGCAGAGCATGGCAAACACGATGCGTGTTAAGAGCATCGGGCAGCAAACTAGGTCTAAGCAGACTCTTGCAAAACCAAGCGCGAACGAGACAACATGAACCGGTGTGGCCAAAGCGGGCAGTGCAAGCTTTACTTAGGAGGCAGCAGCAGCATCAGCAGCGCAACGACAGACTTCAGGTTACCAGCGCCATCCCTGGAATCCTGGACACACACTAGAATGCGTGGATTCGAATGTCCCTCAAAACCCCTCAGAACGGCCTCGATGGACTCTCCCTGGCCAGCATCGAAAATTGTTCAGACCTGCGGAATCAACCATACCCGTCGGCACTTGCCATGGAAAGCGGTTCGCAGTAAGACAGAGATCATTCGGCAACGCCGACTACTTCGGACGAACCGGACTGGGAACCAGGCTCCACGTTTCGATCTGGCAAAAACTTGGCAGTCAAAACCGAGCCGAACGTTCGCTTGATTGGCCCTTGCACGCGTGTGCTGCTGAAGTTGCTGGAACTGCTACACTGCTACGCGGCTCACCGCACAATTTAAGCCTTCTCCCTTGATGCCATGGTACTGGAACGTCACTTGGGCGGTGAAAGAAGTTTCTCAAGAATCGCGGAGTTTGATGCTATCATGGATGCACCCAACCGCCGATTGGTTTGAAGTAGAGATGCGAGCGCATTGACGAGACTGAACTGCAAAGCATGAATGCGTGTCGCCTCGTTTTACACTCTGAGCTGCCTACGCTGAAACGTCAAGCAGATCCCTCAAGCAATGCAGTCTGTAATTTTGTGTACTGACTACTCAAGGCTCATGGTCTCGGCTTTGGGCGCCTCAATGCCGCAACCCTTGCTTTTGAAATCTCCAGTTGGGGCAACGAGAACATGTTTTTGCTAGCTGCATCTAGCTGCAACACTCGAAGAGCCACCTGAAGCCGCGCTGGATAAACGCCGGCTGAATTACAAAACCAAGGTACACGCCAGGGAGCACAGCGGCAAGCATGCGGGGATGCTTGCAGCCCGAGGAAGCACCTCACATGATTTGCAAGTCGCAGGATGTTGCGCGCTGGTGGGCTCAGGCTTGCCCAGGCCTCGCAGAAGGTTACTCTGGTAGGCATCCCAGGCTGCACTGAAGTCCTCACAGGAAATCAAAGCCAGAGAGGCTGGAGCGGTTCATTGACGTGCCCCTAACGAAGCACTTTTGGCGAAGCTGCGAAAAGAGCCAAGACCTGCTCTTTACAGAGATGAAGAGAATGAATTCGTGGTGATGCTGGTACGTGAACCTCGAGCTGTGTAAACACAGCCAGCCTGTCCTGCCATGGACGCTCCGTTACGGCCACTTCTCGCTCGACTGCCACACAAGCGCTTCGAAGAACCTTGCGGCAGGGACTGGAAGTTTGGCAACTTGGCGAATTACACCACTGAGCTGGCTCAGATGCTCGTGACTAAGCATACTTCTAGCTTCAGAAGCTCTGTACTTGCAGGTCTCCACATGACACTGACCCTGTTCGAGTGCGAAGCTTAACGGCTTCCACCATACATTTATCAAGCTTAATCTACATGTCCAAAGCGGTCCATTTGCCCTTCAATATGGCAGAAAGGCATGGGATCTGGATGCATTTGAGCTTCCCGCTTCATGCGGACTTTGAAACAGAACGACCCCGTGTTGATTCGTCGCTGCTGTTATAGGTACCGCTGCCTACGCTTTTGCTCCGCTGGTATGACAGCAATGCGCTTGATACCTGGGATGTGGTTCTTGAAGTCAGGAGGCAACGGAAACAAACGCCGTCGTGTCACTACTGACCTTTGCGAACCCCTTAATTAACACTTCGCGGCATGAGCACAACGATTCTTTACACCAGGGATGGGGTTGGACAAACAGCGCTTGCGCAGAACAAACAGGACTGTTTCTTCGTGCGCTTTGGCCGCGTTGGCGCGTTGCGGGGGGTCAGCGTAATGGCCTGCTGCACGGCGCGCAAGCACGAGAGGAGCTCTGGCCCTGGCTGTAGCTCCTGCATCGCCCACACTGTAAGATCACACTGTGGTGTTGGGAAGGGCTTCATGGGCTTCCAACTGCACGGCTCCGGCATGGACTTCTTCGCCGCTTTCTCCCATGGCTCCTCTCTGGCGCTCAAGCTTGCACGTGGACATTGTCGGGAGACAGCTACAAAAGCCAGAGGTCCAGATACTCGACCAGTTCTGCTGGCAGCTCGCAGAAGCCGGTGCCTGCAAGGGCGCCGTCTCGCGGCGACACTGTAAGTTGTGACGATGAGACCGATCGAATTGCAACAGGCCTAGTCCACTCGTTGCAGCCATTCCTACCAGCAACGCACAACCTATGCCCATCTGACTCCGAACCAAGTTATGGCCGAGGGTATTGTGATGTGCTGTGGGTGTGCTTGATCGTGCAATGCTAGGCTAGTTAGTTTTCTCATGTGGGAAAATGGACCGTTTGTAACGTGGGAGCTGCTTTGCGACATGCTTTCGCTTGATCCAGGCGGCGGCCATGATCGGCTTCAACCAGCTGACCCAGACTGTGTCAGGTGACTCATCCGCAGACAGGCTGAGTATGAGAAGTCGCTACAAGTATGAAAAACCACCTGCAAAAACCAGAATTAATTCGTGTTCGAGTCGGATGATTGGCAACACCTTGCAAAATCTGGTCAACTCAACATCAATGAGTTGAGAAAGCGTGACAAATGAAGGAAAGCGCCTGTCGCCACCGACACAGCAACAGCAGAAAAAAAAAAAAAAACAATGTAATCAGTGCCAACAATCTCTGGAAGACTCCCCGCGGTCAGAATCTACGGTGCGTTTTCAACCACAGGGGACTAAGCGATCAAAGTGCCCGAGCTCACTTTGGTACCTGTGCTTCCGGAGCTGGGAAGTCGCAATGTCAAGCTGACTCGAAACATCTCGAAACTCAACACGCTAGGCAATCAGATTATGTCCTTGCAGCGGCCTATTCGCACAACATGTCTACAAGATTCTGGAAGTACTCGCGATTTCACACACTGGAGCGCACCAAAGGTTCACCAGACGGCTGCCAAACCGTGCTTCGTGCAACAATGACAGCAGTGGGGCCTGGCGACCTGCAAGGAATGGACTTTTGCTTTGATGCAAAGTTCTAAGCGCAGAGCAACTGATGGCATGCCTTCAGCCCAAACGCGGATGGTGAGGCCTGCGACCTGCAAGCTCACCCAAGCTCAGGCCGAAGGAAGGTCTCATGCGCAAGAGCATGTCGTTCGAAACATATCGCAAGTAAATATGTGCAACTTCGAGATCCCCTCAGCCTTTGCGATGGCATCTAGCAGTCCGCCAGAATGCTCTGAGCCTCGTGAAGAACACAATTTCAGATGCGAATGGCCACACTACTTCTTGGCCTTCCAAACAATCTGAAATGACTGAGCACGATTGCTTTTAGGCCCCGGTCTTCCACAACCACGAAGAAACGAAAGCCAGAAGGTGTCGTCACTTCCGACCCATGACACATACCTCAAGAACGAGCCAGCTCAACTCAAGCGTTCCAAGCCGATTCTTAGCCACCGGGCGCAGAAATGCATCTGCCACATTGCTGTCGCAGTCTTTCCAGCGCCTAAGATGCAAGGCCAGGATGCGCAATCACGGATCTAGTTGGCCAGGCAGGGTCAGGCCTGAGCTGTCGCAGCAGCAGTTGCGGCCGCCTCCTTCTCTTGCGATTTGCCTCGATCGAGGCACTGCGTACTGCACCCGGAACTGCATTTTGATCGAGCACAAAAGCGGCCGCAGTGCTTTACCAACACCACCAAAGGCTGAGGGCACTCCCGCATCCCGCCAGAAAGGCCCCTGCACTGCGCCAACAGCTGAAATGCCAGAAGCTTTTCGCGGCCACTTGGGAGCGAAGCAGCCTCGCGGCACAGTGGCTGGCACACAGGTACATAATTGGACAGCCAGCGAAACAAAAGGACATACAGAAGACCAGACGTATGCACATTCCACATCACAGCAGAGGGTGGACGCACTGATGATCAGAACACGATTCTCAGAATGCGTTGCTGTGCATTCAGGATGGGGACGCATGGGGACGCACTGATAGGGGTGAACGGCTTGGAGATTTCGAGGAGATACTTAGGGCTGGCACTTCAAGTCCGTTGAAAAGCTGTGGGGTATTGGCACTGTACTCGTGCCATGAACCTTTCATGTCGTGGTTCATGGCTTATCCCCATCGTCTGGTAGCCAGCCCATCTGTGAATTACACGTGATGATGAATGCATCCTCTCTACGATTTAATGGCATCCGCGCATGGGCAGCCAGAAGAGCCGCCACTCCGCGTCCACTCTGGGGCGGGAGGGCGGGAAAAAGCATACACCGCAGCATCCGGCTGGAGTCACACTTTGCTCCAACTGCCATGGCATACATAGACTTAGAGTGACCTAGAGACTGCCTGACGCAGGATGCGACAGATTCCTTGCTGCAAGCTTGATTTCATCTCGCTCTTGGTACGCTGGTAAAACGAAGAACATGATCACTGTCCAGTACCGTGGCACTGTGTGTACTTTGAGTTCCGGCAACACCAAAACCAAAATACAAACATTTTGACATACTTTCGACAAAGAACACGCTCACTTGCCGCTCGCCCTTGAAATTGAAGAGCTTTACAGATCTTGGGTTAGTTTGCAGCCGCGGTTTTCTTCACAGCTGCATCCTTGCAGGCCTTGCAACGCTACAAATCTCGAAGACGTTGCATAACGTTGCTGACGACTCTGCTGTCGTGAACACTGACACCTGTTGAATGTGCCCGAGAGCCACGAGCGGCTGCGACTGGACAAGCCGGCGAAGATGACATGCGAATGTGCATTTTTATTGAGCACGCTCTGTTCCTGGGATCTAGCTAGCGCGTTGATGCGGCTTGTATCAAATCGAGGGCCCCAGCATAAGACGACATGACTCTTTCCTCCGCATCTTTCGACTAGTCATCGGCTTCCACAACCGGCAATGCAACTTGCCTTCTCCTTCAGCTCATTGAAGAAAAGTCGCAAGGCCTCACGTCAAGACCGAAAGAGTCGAGGTTCACTCCTCAGCAAAGAGTCGTAACTTAGTAACTGCATGCCTAAATCTTGACAACCAAGTGGAGAGCAGAAGGCAAGCATGCGTTCAACGACATGTCTCTGCCTGAGCTCATCACCTCCACCAGACCAAGTCTTTCTACGGCTCCCTGGCTGCGCAGAGATTGGAACTCTGGTGTGTTCAATGCTCTGCTTGCCAAGCTCCTGGTTTCGCTGTTTCTCGGATGCTGTGGCATCAACATCGGCACATACCGTGCAGCTGAGCAGCGGCTTGGACACTTCCGGTAGGTTCAGCGCTACGCTGATGGAAAAACTCTGCATGCCGCATCCAACTTTTGCCAGGAGGGTTGGATTGGAAGGCGAATGTCGTCACTTCAACTTTCCTCAAACTATCTCAGACTCAGCTGAAGCTGGTGGTTGGCACGCGAAGATGAAGGGTGTCGGGGCTGAAGCTGGAGGTTATCCGACTGTTCTGGCGCTGAGTGCTTCTGATCGGGCCTCCGAAACGCAATAGCCTGTGCTTCTTTGTCAAAGTCGAAGTGGAATCTCACATTAGTTCTTTTCCACAGGCAGCTTTATGCATCTAGTTCACAGCAAGCGCACCCCATCTGATGTCACTTGTTCACAATGTCCCGCAAGAAATTCTCGGATGGGTTCGTCAGTATTTGGATCGGATGCATGGAAAAAATCATGATGGCTAAACGCTCGTCACACTCGCGGACATTTCAGGGACGAGGACCATCCAGAGACCCGCAAAGAGAAAACTTGACAGGACTTCTCTGGGACTTGGCAAGACCGACGCACCGAAAGTTAACACACACAAACACACAGCAATCAGTACCTGCACCTGCACATCCTCTTACGATTGCATGTTGTTAGTACCAGGCCTGATGGTGTCTGTATTCGTTGGCATTTCGTTGTCACTCTTGTGCTGTGTGAGTCTATGTCACCCCGACAATGAATTCTGAAGTCATGTCTGTTGCAACTTCGAGCTTAAACGGAAACTTCTGAATGCCGCGGGGAACGTGTCCCAACCAACATTCAACCTCTCGCTGCCTCACCTGTGACTTGGTGCTGTATTGGGTAAAGCGCGCCGCGAAAACTTTAGGGATCGGATTCTGCCTCCACCATAGCCGAAAGCCACTCTTACTCTTGCTGTGACGCCGACAAAGCTGCAGAGCTGCAGAGGGGTTGGGAACTTGAGGACCCAAGGAAGTGCATCTGAATGCGGTTTCGCTTCTTGAACGATGCCTTTTCGGCAAGAGTCCAGCAAAACAAGATGAAGTCATCACAACCCTCACAATCCCTGCAAGGCGGACCTGAACAGCGGCAGAGGCGCCCACATCTTGAAGAAAGGACATTGCCTTCCAACCCGACAGTGGCCCTCACAATGTCAATGGCGCTGCGATTAAAAAAAAACAAGTAAGCCCTGTGAAATGCCTCGCGGTGCCTGTGATCCAAAGCCTTCACCAGTCACCGACTAGGCTAGACCACGATTGGCATGCGTGGCTGTCGTCGGTGCCTCCTGCCAGCGATAGTAGTCGGCGAGGTGTGTCCAAAGATCTGTGGCATGGCGAAGCTCTCGAGGAAAAGAAGATCTCTCTCCTCTCCAAAAACTGCTCTTGACCGTCTCTACAGCTCTACAGCGATCTAGGTCGGAGTCGGTCCTGTCTGGATGGCAGCGAGTAGATCTGATGCCAAGAAATCCTTCAAGATCTTTTATCTTCATCATCTACATACGACGGCAGAAAGGAATCCAAGCATCGGGTCCTTAACTTCTGGATCACTTAAACTTTGCAGCAGCAGTGCTGCAGCCTGCGACACGCTTTGCGTCTCAGAGTGAGACGACACGACCGTCATGCCGAGCCGAGTCGCTGTTCGTCTGTCAATGCCAATTCCATGGAAGCCGCAGCCTCCGTGAAACGGAGGCTGTGAAACTGCGACTGCCGTCGCCCTAATCAAAAACACAACGTAACAAAAAGCTCTCATTGCGCGAAAAGGAGCTGTGATCTGCTGGCATATGCTCTACGAGGAATCGCTCGCCGTCTTCCCCGAACCTGCTCAGGGCACCCCTGCAAAATCCTGCAAAAGTCGAAACGACACGTCACCTGGCAGACTGAAACTCTAATCACTCGAGGCTGGGGGAAGCACACAGGCGACGGAGACAACGGAGACAACGGAGACAATGTGAGGCTGTGAAGATCTGTGAAGCTCGTACTGTACGCTGTCGTAGACGATGTCTGCTTCGGCTCCTAGCTCTGCAGCCTTCCAGGAGCGACCCCCCACGGACACGACATGTGTTACCGTGGATTAGGAGCAGGAGTGCAACGTTAGCAAAGTCAGGACTTGGACTTTGCAAGTCCTTGTGTCTGAGTATCGAACACCCCTTCCTTCTACAACATGATACGTCAGTGCTTTGTACGTTACCCCCTCTCGGACACCTGATGTGCCTGATGTGACATGTGGTCCTACCAGTAACCTACCCATCGAGAGCAACGACATGCTCTATCAATGATGCATCCCAGAATGTGATGCCGACCCACCGCAGCCTGACTTGCAAGCGCTGGTTCTGCGACCAATCCATTCATGTTCCATGGAATTGTGCTGCGCTGTCATGAGGTGGAACTGGCTTAAATTGCTTCTTGGCTGTGGGAGTACGTGCAAAACCGCGAAGCTTGTCTTTAATTGTGGAGCCGGATCAAGGTCTGCCATACTGTTGAAACATGTCCATGGTGGCGACGGTATACACATGGCTGCAATGACTCTGAAAACTCAACGGCAGGACGGCATTTGCAGGTCCTGTACGGACGCTTGAAGAGACTCTGAAGTATAATTGCTTGGTGCTCTTCGGTGAATGTCTTTCTGTGCCTCTTGGAAAAGGCATCCGCCCGGACCGCCTAGGCCCCGGCCTTTAGATAGACATTTCTGAAGCAAAGTCGAAGGAGTTTCGGGATGAGGTAATATACATACAAGCAACTAGCAAAATTAAAGGTCATAGGAATCTTCGCGGGCCCCCGTCGTCCCCGTCGTCGTCAGAGACACGAAAAGGTAGGGCGGGAACGGGGCAGCTTACATGGGCAACAACGGCGGCTCAGTCCTTCCCTTTTCAAATTCCATCCAACGACTTGACCACAGCGGCAAAGTGACACGGTGGTCGCAGAAGTTGCTCGGACTCCGAAGGCAAGCTGAAAATTCTGGATGTGTGGTCAAGCTCCTTCTCGCGACATTGACCACCACTGGCAGGCTAGCGGAAGGGCCCGTCACCTAGCACGGCATCTCGCTAGTGCGGCAAGAGGATTCTCTGCCTCAGCCGAGCATATCCACATTGGACCAAAGTCCTCTCCCGACATTTCCCGAGCCCGTCACCGACACTGAGTTCGATCTCTGTGCAACTTGTGCCAGGCCGCTCGCCGACCTTCTGCAAGCAAACTCACCCGAGTTCTAGCCGGAAGCCAGTTCAGGAAGGACTACAAGTAAGCGGGCTTTAAAGGATGATCGGAAGTTGCTCTTTCGTCATGGACCTCGCGATACCTAGACCGCCCTGGTCAGAGGCTGCGCCGACGACGTGCTAGCCGCAACTCGCGACTCTTTCTTCTCTCAACCTCCCCAAAGTCAACGGCACCCGATCCCCAGCACAATATCCCTGCTCTGCGATGCCTTTCCATTTCTCTCCCCTCGCAATGCCGGCACTACCACAACAACAGTCACCTCTGAATGGGTTTCTGTCTTTCTAGCATTCCCTATGTCTGTTCTTTCAAGTCTCGGTGCCCGGCTTACTTAAACAAAAACAAGCTCACGCAACAAAACACAGGAAACGGCTGTGCATCGTGCCTGGGTCCTCCGAATGGGTCGTTGCCCTCAGGGTCGCATGTCTCGGAATATGAGCAGCGTCAATGCTCTGCCTTGACTCACCTGAACAATATGATGAAGCAGGTGCCTCCCATGCTGCCGCATGCTGTCTGGCTGCCTGCATGCATAACGTATCATATCATATCACCACCCATGACAACAGTTGATTCTGGGCATCAGTTGCCTTTGACATGCCAAGTCCGATGGCCGAACCACCAGGCGAACCTACAGCTCGTTCGAATCTCAGTTGGTGGGAATGTGTTTATGTCATGTGCCACGTCGATGCTTCTGGGAAGCACTCGGCGACATAGTCTTTTTAAGCCATGGTGCCCAGTGAGCACTAACTCTGTTTGCACTGGCGGAACGACTACTCGGACCATTGCGTCAGGGATCATGAATGCAGTTGTAAAATCAGTCAGAGAATACTTCAGAGAAATATGGCAACCACCAGCTGGAAGCGAACTAGCGCGTCAGGGGATCAAGACTCATACGTTCGTTGCAATGGAACGGAGTCTTCGCCAATGACGACAACATGTGTACACAGCAGTGGCAAATCTCAGCAGCTTTGCGTGATTTGGACTGCTCTAGACAAGTGGAGCTACATGTTCCTGCATGAATTTCTGTGACAATAGCTTCGGGGGCCTACTGCCAGCAGACATCCAACAGGCTAGAGTCCTCGCAGCTCGCAAAGGATGATTTGCGGCTGTCATAGAAATGGCCTCGGTGTACAAACGATGGCAAAGGAGATATCTGACAAATTGGTGCAGTCAGTGCCACGCCCCTGCTGTGAGTTTCCACGCGTGGGAGTCGAAGGGCTGGGAGGCTGCCGCAACCTCGGAAAATGAAAAACCTTGCATCTTAATGGATAAGTTTCCGTGACTTACGTGGGGCACCATGCATAGAGCTTTGCCGAGGCCGAGGCTGGCGGGCCAGTTGGCGCAGGTACCAGACGTCCGTCTGCAGTGCTTCAGATATCCTTGCAGCGATGAGAAAGGCCTGTTGCCGAAGGGCCTTCGGAATCGCCTCTGCATCTCCCAGCCAGCTACGAAGGGAAGAAGAGGGTAGAAGCTTCTCGCCTGGCGCATTTAATACAAACACAATTCTCTTTCGACCATCCTGCTGGCCTGCAGGATAGACTGCACCTTCGGTCGCACAACGTTCCATCTGGAGCGGAGGTCCTCGTGCGACAGTGTTTACAGTAACACTTCACCCCGATAGCTGGGGCTGCATGTGCAAGCAAGTTGTTGCATCCTCGCCCTCATCATGTATGAACTTGTCATAGAAGACCTGAGCATCGATCCCGACATTATGGAGTCAGTCAGAAAGCAGCCGTGCTAACAAAGTACTCGTCCACACCGCAAGCAGTTATGCAGGACTCACTCACGGTCGCCACATGTGGCCACTCTCTTCCCCTGCCATTCGGGCTGCAGCGTTGGCAGTTCCTTGCTACCCCGCTTGGTTCCATGGTTCTCCATAAGCATGCAGTGATTGACGGTGGAGCTGAGAATGGTGGCCACGCAGCAGCAGCTTGCTTCTGCTGCTCCGGGTTGGCCCCCTTTCCGCTCACGTAAGGTACGACGTCTCAGAACTGGATTGATATGCACAGTCATGGGTATTCAAGGGTCGGTGGCATTGTGCCCTCCGTTTGACCCGGACAAGCTGAATCTCTGCCCGGGTGGAGGTGTAGAATTGTCGTTGGGTCTGTCGGTTTAGCATGATCAAACCATCAAAGAGTCCAGTTCGTGGACAGACAGCACCACAAGCTGGGTTTTTTGCATCACAAGCTGGCTGCACCAGCTTACATTGATTGGTTCACAAAACGCCGAACCAACGTGAAGTTGTACTGTACTGTCACCATGTGATGCGCACGCATAGGTCCTGCGAAGGCGTAGCTGTGGCGAGGGGGCTCCTCTGGGAGCTCCTGCTTGCTTCTATAGGGGGTTGGAGCCGAAGCTGATGGCACACGTGAGGGAGCTCTCGCTGCCTGTCCGAGTCTGGTGATTCTGGGCGCGTCTGCTGCAGGAGTCTTGGCTCTCAGTTTATGACTGCGTGGGCCAGTCCAGGCCCAAGGCGGTCTGCAAATCAAGCACTCAAATCTTCCCTTACAAGTTTCTCATGATGACAACTTGCAGAAAGCACTTGTGACCTTCAAACTCTTAATTACTGAGCAACTGGCCTCATCAAATGTCGACTCCAGAGTTACATAGAGCTCCTTCTGATACCTGCTTCGGGCTGCGATGCCAGCATGTTCAACAGAAAATGCTTACAACATATTGCGTGACAGCTTTAACCAGGCAGGAGGCCCCTGGCCCTTGACACAGCCACACACATGCCCGCAGGGAGTGAGCGAAAGACTGACACCGCATGCGAGAAGAGAGTCACAGCATGCGCGAACAGCGCTGCGATCCGCACTGAGTGAAGCTGTCCCACAGCATCTTCAGCACCTGGAGATCTCGAAACACGCCGAAGAGATCTCTATCTGGTTGACACAAAACTGGGATGCAGACGCCAGCGAGAAAAAGTAAATACACAAGAAGCACCTGCAGCCACTGCGTGCTGGCCGCAGCCGACTTCTGCGACGGCGACCATTGTGATTTCAGTGATAGCTGAGTCAACAGCGGTCACGTAGACCCATGTGCCGAATGGGTAGAACCTCAAAACCATAGCATGGACACACGCAAGACATGCTTGAAGAATCTTGAAACGGACACATGCTTGCCGGCACGACCGAGACCCTTGCTCTTCAGCGGTGCCTGTGCGCTTGATTCTACAACCGTCAAGCCCGAACCAATAAGCCAAGCATCCACCGAGTCTATCTCAAAGGATGTCTCTTCAGCCGGGACAGGCAGGGCGTCGCTGCCTACAGGCTCTGGTGGAGCTGTTGGAGCGGGTTCTGCTCGTCGCAGAAACCCTTGGCCCGCTATTGCCATGGCGTGTGGTCAGGAACGTGCAAGTTACAGTCCGTACCACATTCAAGAGCTCAGCCATGCGCCCCAATGCCGCCGGCCTTGCATGGAGTCCAAATATCTATCATGAACGCAATGCGATACCATAAGAACAATCAAAGGGACTTACTTGTGAAGAATTTGCCCAGATATGTTGGAAGCGCGGGCCAAGAAACTTGGAAGCTCTTCTGGTCTTGAGGCTGCTAGATCTGCAGCGGCCATCTCA